CCTACTGAACGACTTATCAGATTGGATGTCGCTCTACTTCCTTAAACTGATCCTCTCTGAAACCGAGCTCCTAGTCTTCCCCCCAGCCCGCACACCACCCCCTACTGACTTCTCCATCACGTCCAACAATGCCACCATCAGGCCTGCCCCGTAAGCCAGAGTACTAGGTGTCATTCTAGACTCCAATCTATCCTTCCTGCCCCAAGTCCATTCACTAACAAACTCATGCAGACTCCACCTCTGCAACATCGCCAAAATACGCACGTTCCTAACCCCAGAAACCACTAAGCAGATCATCCACTCCATCATATCACGACTCGATTACTGCAACTCCCTCTACACTGGCCTGCCTCGCCACAGACTATCCCCGCTTCAATCGATCCTGAATACGGCAGCCAGACTCATCCACCTTATCAACTGCTCCGTTTCCGCCACCCCCCTCTGCCAATCCCCCCACTGGCTTTCGATTGCGCAACAGATCAAATTCAAAATCCTAACACTGACGTACAAAGCTGTCCATAATACTGCCCCAAACGACATCACCGACCTAATATCCAAATACCACCCAAAACGCACCCTCCACTCCTCACAAGACCTCCTTCTCGCTAGTTCCCTAGTCTCCTCCTCCCATGCCCGCCTCCAGGACTTCTCCAGGGCATCACCCATACTCTGAAACTCCCTACCCCAATCCATCAGACTATTACCTACTCTCCTCTCCTTTAAGCGCACCCTGAAAACCCACCTCTTCAGGGAAGCCTACCCCACCCCCTGCTAATTCCCGACCTCCTCCACTCTTCCTACCACTCCATCCCCCACAGCTATTTCCTCCTGTACCACTATCCCCTCCCTCCTAGATTGTAAGCTCCAAAGAGCAGGGTCCTCGAACTCCTCGTGTATCGCATTGTATTGTTATTGTACTGTCGCATGCTCTGTCTCCCATTGTAATGTACAGCGCTGAGCGAACTGTTGGCGCTTTATAAATACTGTATAATAATAATATTGAAGGACTGGTAAGCTGCAATATGTTACATTTTAATTCTTGGGTTTAGATATAATTCAACATGATGGGCAGCATCACTGAGGTTTGTAATGTAGTGAAGGCATGGACAATATACAGAGAGGTGGCCTACCTTCTCTTTTTTCGACCCCTCTCCGCTTCAACAACTGCCCCATAAGAAGACGTGTGCTGTGGGGGCAGTCATGCTGGAAAGCTCCTGAGCTGGTCTGTGTACATCCATAGACACATACAGCATGGCTCCTGCTCTCTTTTCACAGCATTTGACTGACAGCAACAGGCACCAATGGCTCTCACTGCTATCAGTGTAGCTTGTGAGAAAAGGAAGAAAGAGGAACACTGCTGCACACGGGCACAGCACTGGGGGTTGGTGAGGAACAGTTAGTGGGATGCTTTTTTACCTTAATGCAGGGAATGATAAAAACATTTTAACTTTAGATCCACTTCAAGCAGTTTCTTGTCATCATAAACTCAGTTTACATTTTTCACATTTGCCACAGGTTTGCTAGTTCAAATATGTTCTATAAAATACTAATCACTTCATTAAAAGAAAATAGGTAACTGAACGTTTTCTTTAAATAAAAAAGACACACAGAACATATCTTCCTTGAGGCCAAAGTAAATAACCAAAGCCATAATTAGTGGTCAATAACTACAGTGGAATTACATTTCTTTTTCTGGCTTATGAACTTCACATTCACTAAACAGTTACTGTAGGCCAAAAAAGTCAGAATACAAAGTCATCAAAATATAAAGCCAAAATGATGAATTTACTATATATATATATATATATATATATATATATATATATATATATATATACACATACACACATACACACACACACACACACTATTTGAAGCCATAAATGTATTTTATTTGATCCCTTTGGCCCTTGTGATTACACCATTGAAGGTACTTCGTTATACCTGTATCTTAACTACTTGTTGATCCTGCAAGAAACCTATTGATGTTCTGTTCACTTTGCTTTCTTATCTCAATAACTTTTTTGTGAACAGAACACATCCCACTATCTTGCAGACACAAATAAAGGGGGAGGTGTTCTGTAGGCCAAATGCTCTTCCTTTCAGGGGCGACTATACTGGTGCTCCATAGATACAGTACGAGTGAGTGTTTTCACTCTAGGCCAGAAAATGTGTTACAGGCAGGATCACAAAGCAAAACAAAAAACAAAGAAAAAGCCCGTACCCCCCCCCCCCCAAAACAAATGCAGTGACTACATTATTTATTTTTTCGTACTGTCAGTGTCACTGATCACCACCACTCCAGTTATATGATGACGATGTACTACACTGATGAGAGTATGTAAATTTCTTAATTTTTCAAACAATTATGACAAAAAAATTACAACTTCAAAAATTTGTCATGCCTCTTACTTGGAATGTCTACTCTCCAAAAAAGGGTCATTTGGGGGATATTTTTACTCTCAAGACATTTTTGGGCCTCAGGAAATGAGATAGGCAGTCAGTACATCAGAACTGATCAATTTTGAGATATATACCATAGTTTGGGGACTCTATCACTTTCCTACAGACTAAATAAACATTAACTTGGGTTATTTTCACCAAAGAAATGTAGCAGAATACATTTTGGTCTACTGGGAATTTGAAATTGCCCTGTATTAAAGCCGTTAATTTAGCAGGCCAGACAGGATTAAAAGCTTCTACTTGTTTTATGTTGCTCCCACTGCTTTCTCAAAGAATTGCAGTCTAACCTGGATGAGAGTTGCTCTTTTATGATGGACATTTCTGGACTGATTTTTGGAGAGCTGCACTGTGCTAAAATGCGTTAACAGTTCCTAGTTCGGGATCTGCAGATCCATTTTACTTCTTTGACTCATTCTGACCTCACAAATTTTGCTGGCAAGTTATTTGAGTCGGGGGATAAGAATGGAAAACTTCTGGCAAATCAAGTGGCAGACCCATGTTACCAAAGAGTGGTTCCAGAACTGATTATGTCAACAGGCCTTAGTATCATGGTTTCCTCAGAGATCCTATTGGAATTTAACAACTATTTTAGTTCCCTGTATACTGATTCGGGGGTAGCCCTAGACCGTGGGGCAGCAACCAGTAGATCTTGGCCAGGTGACTGGTAGATCACGATCAGGGCTTGTTGACCTGCTGTGCCAGACCATCAAACAGACTGCAATGCAGAGGAACTACTTGTAAGGAAAAGAAAAGATAGCAGTTTCTATTTCCAGGGGGGAGATTGGAGCCTTCAAACTCTCCACCTCTTCCTGCAAAAGTCAACAACTCATGGAAGGCATCGTCTAGGGCAGCGGTAGGCAACCTTATAGAGGTGGAGATCTACCTGAACAACATAGGAGTCAAAGATCACTGGGCACAATGTTGCCTCCTCATAGCTGATTTAAACCTCTAATTGCATGGCATATCCCCTCCTCACCACCTGTCAAACACACTCAGATCAGTTTGCAGAGGAGTGCCTGCTGCACTTGTGAATGAGCCCTTTGTTGCATTTAGCAGCTGCTCTCTTGGGGCTCATTACATGTAAAGTCGGGGATGGTAAAACCCTGTGGCTAAGTCACAGTTTTACCTCCCCCAATTCCTACCTTTTTTAGCTGCTGCAGCAGCCGCCAAAGGTGTACACGTTGCAGCAAGAATTCTACCCCTTGTTGCTATTGTTGGATGCTACTGCCTGTCAATCAAGACTCATTCAAATAAATGGGGCTACTCTGCAAGTGCCCCATGATTGTATGCGTCTACAGTGTCCAAGGGAGTAAAGCAGTTGGTGAGAGAGTAACACACACCGCTATCTGTTTAACCCCTTTTTGCTGTATGCACAAGGTTGCAGGGTACTTGCAGAGCGGCCTCACTCACTTGAATGGGTCATGCTTGACAGGTGCTACACCCACCAACCATGACAGGGTGTAGGAGCCAGCACTACAGAGGAGACATCGGCTTATGCAGCTCTTGCTCCCTACAACCTGTTCCCAGCAATAGTAGGTGTCGGCAGAGCGCTACCTCCGCTTCTGCCCCCTCCAGCTGGCCGGTGAGAGAAATATGATCTCTGCGTGATGCTTTTATAGCAGAAATATATTCACCACAAGTCGTGGCCTTAAAAGCCTCCCATACCATGGCAAATGAAGCAGAAGACTCATTAACATCCCAATAACTGGAATAACTGGAACAGAATCCAACTTCCAGCAGACAAAACTTGAAGGGGGTGTGCTGGAGAATATGAACTATTGGTCCGCCCGCTTACCAACGAAAAAAAGGGAAGCTCTCACAACAAAATATAGTTCCAGCATAAGGAGTATAAATGCACAGAGCATAGGGGAAAATGTTAAATAAGAGGGAGTAAAAGAATTCCCTATCCCCCATGCAGGTGAATGGGGAAGTGGCGCAGTCTAGGCAACCAGGGTAGCCATGCCATATACATCATGGGCCACAAACTAGCCCTAACAATAGAGAAACGTATAGAAGAATATAGTAACTAGTACGCCACTTTCCAGCAAACAGTAATCGAGAATGGTTGAGAAGTGGCTCTAGAGTCACTTGAATCATGAAAAAAAGGGGGGGGGGGGGCAAAGTTAGTTCAGGGTGAGTAGCCAGGTATCCGCATCTTCAGAGGAGTCAAAGAAGCGAACCATGCAATTATGGGGGACACGGAGACTACTTGGATAAAGCATACTGTACAGAATGTTTCTGTCCCGCAGCTTGCGGTGAACTTTAGTGAAGATCTTGTGAGGGCTTTGCAGCTCTGAGGAGAAATCTGGATACAGGTGAACCACCGTTTTTTCAAATGGCAGAGAAGTGTGCTTCCTAGCCTCCAACAAGATTTTGTCACAGTCCCTATAATTGAGAAACTGGACGAAAAACGGCCGTGGAGGGAATCCGGGGGTACCCTATGGGCACGTTCCACCACATAAGTGGCTCAGACGTCTTCCAGAAGAAACAGCTCTTTAACCTCCCTAGCGGTATTCCCGAGTGTAGCTCGGGGTAAAATGTCAGTGCCAAAAGCGGTAACCCCCAGCTACACTCGGGCTTACCATTCGGCGCTGCATAGGGAGTCCCTGCAGAGCTTACCTTGTCCTTCGCTCCCGCGATGTGTCCCCTGCAGCGTCCCAGGCCATCTCTTCCGGCCGATGCCGGCCTCCGGCCTCTGTGTTCCGGTCCCTGTGACGTCGGGACGTACGGGTGCTGCCGCCGCCGGCGGGAAATTTGAAAATTTTAAAAAATTTCATTTAAAAAAAAATTTTTCATAGTAAAACATTGCTGTTTCAACCCATTTCACATACATATTGTCTGTCCCTAGTGCTTTGTCCTGTGCCCTGCCTGCATTTTGTCTGTTCTTTCTGCCTGGAAACTGAGAAACATCCATGGTGTCCAAAAAGTGTCCCTTTAGGTCAAAAGCGGGTTTAGATCAGCTAGAGAACAACGATAGTAAATCAGAACCACTTGCAGAATTGAGTGATGATTCGTGGGGAAATTCGTCATCAGACACTGAAAACGATTTTGCTCAGCAATGTACGAACTTGGCGCTCTATTTCAAATTTCAGTGTTTTCGGTTTGATTATATTATTGAATTAAATGTATTATTATATTATTTTTTATGATTTATTAAACTATAATTTATGATTTCGTGTTTCAAATTTTATCATACCCGGGATGTTTAATTGACTCAGTGAGTTTCAGTGATTCCTAAAATGACAGCCTACAATAAAAAAACTACATATTTCCATGCAAAATAATGGTACCGCTTTCAGCACCAAAAATCTGAAATAATCATACTGCTAGGGAAGTTAAACAATTATTCCACAATTTCTTCAAGTTTATCTCCTTCAGTGCCCTCTAGCAGCCCCAGGACCCGGACATTATTGCGGCGCATCATCTGCTTTAGCAACCAAAGTGCGGACAGTGTTCTGCAGTAATTGAAGGGTAGCCTCATGTTGGGAGGATAGATCTTCAGCAGCTGAGATGTGAGATTCTGTTTCAGGAAACTTACCTTGGATTCTGTCCAGGTCATTCTTGAAACGGTTGCATTCTTCGGCCACCCTGTCAATCCAGACCAGGAGCGATGTCTTGCATTGCTCTATAGCTCCCAAGATAACTGATGCATCTGTGGACCCCCTGGCTGGGGGCCAGACACAGCCTGACCTTCAGTATCCTCCAGCATTGTGAAGGTCAGATAAGAGAGTCCTCAGGCACGCAGTCAAGATGGCATCGGAGCATGTGGAAGAGGGGGCTGTCTACTCCCTCCCGGCTGGGATATTAGCCTTTTTAATTTCAGATGGCATCCCATCCATATATAGTCACCAACAATAGCAATGCACTCTAACCTAGTAGATACTGCAAATAGGAGAGCAACAGAAACGGTAGGTTGGATTCCAGGAGCTCCTCAGGCAAGTGTCTGCTCTGTTGTACATCTGGCTACATCCCTTGGGATATTTTTAATGAATGTAGATTATTGGATGAGGACTGTCATATGGCTAAGGGTCCTTCCCCCTTTTTGGGATATATATACAGTTGTGCTCAAAAGTTTACATACCCTGGCAGAAATTGTGAAATTTTGGCATTGATATTGAAAATATGACTGATCATGCCAAAAAATGCTCTTTTATTGAAGGATTATGATCCTATGAAGCCATTTATTATCAAATAGTTGCTTGGCTCCTTTTTAAATCATAATAACAGAAATCACCCGAATGGCCATGATCAAAAGTTTACACACCCTGGAGTGTTTGGCCCTGGTACAGATACACAAGGTGACACACATGGGTTAAAATGCCAATTACAGGTTAATGTTCCACATCTGTGGCTTTTTAAATTGCAATTTGTGTCAGTGTATAAATAATCAATGAGTTTGTTAGCTCTTACGTGGAAGCACTGACTAGGCTAGATACTGAGTCATGGGGATCAGAAAAGAACTGTCAAAAGTTCTACGTAACAAGGTAATGGAACTTTATAAAGATGGAAAAGGACATATAAAGATGTCCAAAGCCTTGAATGTGCCAATCAGTACTGTTAAATCACCTATTAAGAAGTGGAAAGTTCAGGGATCTCTTTATACCAAGCTAAGGTCAGGTAGACCAAGAAAGATTTCAGCCATAACTGACAGAAGAATTGTCTAGGATTCAAAGAAAAACCCACAGACAACCTCAAAAGAAAAACAGAAAAAAATAATCAGCGCAGATCACCACCTCAATAAAATTATACATAAAATATTGTGACGAAAAAAAAAGTTCATTTATATCAATATGTGAATATTAAAAAATGTGTTGCCCATAATAAAGTGACCAAAAATATGTAGATTCCAATTGAAGAAATAAATAAAAATTCTTTAGTGCCAAAAATAATACTTCCACCATCCACCAGTGAAAAAACCAACATCCACCGCACTCACCAGATATTGGTGAGTATTGCGCCTTCTAGGATTATTATGGGCTCCTAAACCCCCTTTAAGACCTCCAGGATTCCTTTCCACCACAAGGTATCTTGCTCCTGCTTTTTCCTCTCTCCAACTCCACAGCAGTGCAGGGAAAAGAAATACCAATAGTGTAATACTGCTAATAAACTGTGTTATATCAAAAAACCATTTGCCAGACCACTCACATTTCTCATGATCATAAACAGCGTTTATTGTTTTTGCCACAGAATCACAGGTTCCACATAGTTTGAAGCCGAGACCTCACAGCCTGATCCAACAGCAGGATGACAGGATACCATTCAATATTGAACCAAGATGGCCGCTTGGAATGCACCGCTCAGCATGCGTTCCACTCACCGGAAATGACGCGGGACGTACGGACAGCCAACCGGAAGTGTGTCGACGCGTTTCGCCCCACCCACAGGGCGTTCTCAAGACGCACACTTCATGTCATAGGCCACTTAAATAGCAATGGTAAGTCCCTCCCCTTCATCCCCATGGAGATTAACCTCATTAGGCAAAATTTGTACCTGTCATCCTTTGCTACCACCCCGTGAGGTCCCTTCACATAAGATACATGTAAATTCCTCAACTCTCCATAGAATTAACGGTAAATACCCTCAGCTCACCATAAAAACCGGTAAATACCCCAAAATAAGGGGGGCTTACAATCTATTTCCCTTTAGTCATGTCAATGATCATGAACTACCTACCAATAATTTCACATATTTAAATAATTATTTTAATACATATAGAAAAAAATCAAACAGTAAAAATAAATATAAAAATGAAAATATAAAAAAATTATAAATAAAAATATAAAAATAAAATAAAAAAAACATATTTTAATAATAGCTTGTAAAGAAAATATAAATAAAAAATAAATTATATGTGTAAATATGTATACCCACATCCAAAAATCTGCACTCGGATATTATTGCTAGTACCTCAGATAATATTGCTACCAATTGGATAGAAAACAATGTCAATATCTGCATTTAACCCTTTGGGGCTCAATGTCCCCATCTGATATATGCATTTCGTTTCATTTTGAGATATGCTCTTGACCATGTCACCCCCTCTCCAAGGGGCATCAATCCTATCTATCCCACAAAATTTCAACGATGTCGGATCCCTATTGTGATAAACTCTGAAGTGATATGACAAACTATGATGTTTAAATCCCTTCTTTATATTCCTAATATGTTCTCCCAATCTAACAGAAAGCTTTCTAGTGGTCCTCCCTATATACTGGAGTTTACAAGAGCACTCCAGCACATAGGTCACATACGAGCTATCACAGGATATAAATGTCTTGATTTTAAAAGATTCACCGTTTGAACATGATCGGTAACTGTCATAATATCTTTTATCATCACCGTTTAGATGTTTGCATGCTATACACCTTCTACACTTAAAGAAGCCCACCCTATCCAGGAAAGTTACCACCTTCTTAGGCACATCTGGAACATTCTTTACAAGTCTCGTTCACAAAGTTGGTGGCTTCCAATAAATGAACATAGGCTTCACAGGTAATAGTTTATTCAGGACCTCATCCCTTTTCAGAATTGGCCAATATTTTTTGATTATATTCTCAACCAATTAGAATTGCTTGGAATATCCAGTAATGAAAGCCAAATCCCCTACCTTTATCCTATTCTCCTTTTTCTTCAGCAAGTCTTCTCTTTTAATATTTTTGAATATATTCCTCCAATCCTTCTCTTGTATCTTTCCAGATTATAATAATATTGTCTATGAACCTTTTATAGACTAATAATTCTGAATTCCTATTCTCAAAAATGGCTTCATTTTCCTACCTACTCATGAACAGGTTTGCCACTGACTGCGCATTTTGGCTCCCATAGCCACACCCATTGCTTGCCTATAAAGTTTACTAGAATACCAAAAATAGTTATGTGACATGGCTAGATCTAAACTCTTAAGTATAAATTCTTTTTGTCGAGATTTAAGTCCTGATTTGATGTCTAAAGCCCATTCTACTGCCCCTAAAGCATCCACATGTCTGATATTAGTGTAGAGTGAGTTCACATCAACACTAGCCATAACACAACATCCCTCCTCACTAATCCCCCTCAACAAATTTATTAAATCACCACTATCCCTCAGATAAGAGGGAAACATGGGAACCAGGGGCTGCATAAACGTGTCTACATATTCACCCAATCTTGAAAATAAAGAATCAATCTCACTATTGATGGGTCTTCCGGGGGGGGGGGGGGGGGGGGGGTTATGTTCTTATGAATTTTTGGTAGTTGGTAAATTACTGGTACTATAGGAGAATTGGGTAACAAATATTTACTCTCCTTTTTATTGAGTATTCCTCTCTTTTCTCCTTCAATATGTTTTATTAATAGCACCTTATACTTTTTGGTAGGGTTACTCCTTACTCCTTAAGACTTCATAGGTGTTAACATCATCAACTAATCTACTTAGTTCTATGTAATAATCTTCCTTATTTAATACCACCAGACCTCCCCCTTGTCTGCCGGTCTTATTACAATGTTTTTATTTTCTTCTAATTCTTTAAGACCCTTTATTAGATCCTGTTTCTTCCTCATCCATGGGATAGACAAGCTTTCCAAATCATGTTCCACCATCTTTTTAAATGTTTCAACACAACAATTATTCCCTATCTTAGGGTTAAATACTGATTTGTTCCTCAATTGAGTATGGAAGTAATTACCATTTTCTCCTATCTCATCACTATCAGATATGAGTCATCACTCTTCCTCAAATTATTATGACCCTCATATTCAATGTTCTTACCACTTTTATGACTCCAATATTTCTTTAAATTTACTTTCCTAATAAACGTATGTAAGTTAATATAAGTCTCTAATTTGTTAAGCTTTTTATCCGGTGCAAATTTCAAACCTAATGATAAAACTCTCATTTCATCCTCATTTAAAA